ACGAGTACCGGCCCCTCACGAACTAGAAGGCCGAGAACAGAGCACCCATCAATCATTTCGACGAGGTCAATGAGAGGTACGAACTACAGCTTGGACCGCCGTCAAGCGGCAACCCACAGTGGCCGACTGTATCTGGGACGCACGTCCACCTACCAGCCAACGTCACCTACGAGGAGGGCATCGACGGACACCACGTCGCCACCAATATGCTCCTTGCATTGGAGGCAATTTTTGTTACACGGCCACCTCGACCTTGTCCACCACCATGGAAGCCACCAGCATCCACTTTGGCGCACGGCATCGCCAGGACCATAGCCGCAGACATCAGCGACCTCATGTCCCACATAATGCCCGACAGACGAGCAGAACCCACAAGGCAGCTGACCAACATGGAGGTCTTCTACTACGACAACATTGAGGACGAGTATCAAGCGGAGCTTGAGTTTGAAGGCTTCGAAGCACGCAGACCGACTAGAGACATCATTCCCTTCGCGCACAACGCGCAGCTGGCCAGACAAAAACGACCGAGACCATAGCATCACAGCACCTTCCAGACCAAGCCGAGCAACCGAGCCATCACGGTCAGCCATGCACCCACGGCACCTGACCAGGCAGACCCACCACCGACGTGCCCACCACCACCATTCTACCCACCAGACGACGCGACATGGGACGAGCAGACTCCAGCACAAGCCTGCCAGAGAGCGGGACTCCCGAGCGAGCTGCCTCTGTCACCAAGCCACCGACTACCCCTGCCACGCCCATGGATCGCCCACCCGTAAGCACGCACACAGGGTATATGTAACGCCCAGATGTACTACTGCAACTTGGACACAAAGGAAACACATGGGATGACCCAGACAACGACTACTCATTAAGCCCAGGATGGAAGCGAGCGCTATCTGCCGAGAACGTTGAGTGTTTCTACGACCGCAGCCGGAACATCCCGCAGGAGCCCCCCCCCTGCAACACGTGACCGTGGATGCCGCCACCACCGCCAGCACCGCCTCCTCCGCGGAGGCCGAGGTCGCTATCACCAGACGTTCGCCCCCACTACGTCGACACATCTACCCTCGAGACAATCGCCAAGAGGTGCCAGAGCGAAACTGGTTTCAGGGACGACGTGGGCAACTTCGAGAACAACATCAGCTTCCTCGCCAACAATCAAGTCGCAGAGCTCGCCAGCTCCGACAATTCTCAATGACGCCCACTCGCATCCCTGCTCAGCAACCAGCCCCACAACCTAACCACGCAAGAGGGCGCCCTACGGATTGCTGGCGAGATCCAGGCCGCATAGGCAAAGCAAGGGGCAACACGCCGACCAAACGATCAGCTCCTCAAGAGAAATAGTGGCCCAGCGACATAGCTACCTGCGCCCAACCAACAGGTGGCTTCAAGCAGCAGTGACGGGGCGGCCATGCACCTTCGACAGGACCAACAGGCCCCCAAGCCGATGGCAACAGCACCGACTCCGAGCGACAGCAGCCACGCACCAGCCCCCACGCGGGCGGTACGACACAAGGCACTTCCTGCCCCAGCCCAGCTTCACCCCAATCAGCTGCACAACTCGAATCAAGGAGGAAGACGCACGATGGACGGACCGACTGAGCATCGCCTCCCCGACTAAGTGGCGACATCAAAGCCACCGCCAAGGACTCCACCGACAAGCTGCGGAGCGGCAGCCACGCGCCTTACCACCGGCAGTCCAACGACAGCGCCGACCACGCCACTGGCAGTGAAAGTCAAGGCCAACAGCCTGCGCGACCTGGACACGGCGCTCGAGATGGCTAGCCCTCCGACGGGATACCCGCCATCAGCCATGAGATCTGAGAATGACCAGAGCGAGCGACACCAGGACCTGATCGAGTGCTCGACCAACAACGTCAGCATGACCCCACACGGCCGCGAATCCAGAGATTCCAGATGAAGGCGCAATATTATCTCAGCATGCTTCGTGAACATGAGCAACGCTAACAACCTCTACGACATGACCTTTGGGGCGGACCCGGACATGCGTCTCGAGTGCGACCAGGTCATGAGCTACGTGGAGGCATCGTTAGACTACGGATTCCCGTGCGACGGACTACGAGCAGCGCGACTCTTCCGCTTGACGCAGCGCCAGACCATCCACGCCCGGTGTCAGCCGCCACTTTGCAGCGATGCTGACTTACACGATCGACGACGAGTCCGACGATCTACCGACGCCACGTGCCATGGCTGCACTGCGGCGAAGCATGCTCATGTCCATGAAGCTCAACTGGATATGCGATACAACCCGACAGCCATGCCGACGCCACTCCTTTCCACGCAGTTCCAGATCCGATCCGCGACCGCAGCAACGCAAAAGATCTGTGAGCTGATCAACGCATGATACCACCAACCCAACGACGCAGCAGACGATTAGAACAGAAAGCAACCAAGAGCAGTCCAGCCGCAAGCGCACCACAGCCCTGCACGCCCCGATTCTGACTCAACGACCGACTTGCAAGCTGACCCGCAGACCGCATAGCATTGAACTGATCCACCCACGCAGGGACAAGCAATACAGCACGAGGAACCGAATCAGAGCAAGGAGCTCCAAAGCTTCAACAGGTGGGCACCACCTCCAGCAGACTTCACAGCATGGCAACAACAGCGACCGACCCAGCCAGGGCTACCAAATACAGCAGCGGATGCCAACATGATTACGCACACGGACCCACCGCCAGAGGCTCAGCGAAAGACGCCCGACTTCGACCAGCCCAAACCAAGCCGACTGAGAAAGCCGAGGAGGACAACCACCAGGGCGCAGACATGCCCCCAAGTGACAGCCAGCAGTCAAAGCCCGAAGCGACCCCAACCAGCCCAACAACATAATGGCACGACAACAAGCAGGCCCACAGGCACAGCACAGGTGAGGGGACCACAGCAGATGGTGGCTCAGGACCCTGGCCAGCGTTTGATGTCGAATACCAGCAGCACCTCAACGACCACCAGCACGACCAAGCTATGACAGATCTGGAGACCCCCCTTGATTGCTCACAACCACGAGGCCCACGCCCCTCGATGGGACTGGCCGTGCGGCGGCCCGTCAGTGCGCCAACCTCCTCACCTCATCATGCAGAGCGCTAGCGTTGACCAATTTTGATCCGCGACAGGCACGAGACGTCACGCCAGCAGCTGCATTCCCACACCCAACCTCGCCACTACCCTTTGACCCAACCGTGCGCACTCACCGACAGGATCGGCAGCAGCACAGCTGGTCACCCGTACTCCAGACTCACCTCTCCGACGGCAGCGGAAAGCCGACGCCCAATGGTCACAGCACACGTAGACTAAGTGCACCTAAGCTATGCTACGCAGTGGGTCCCTACGGGGCATTCTCACCCAAAAGCTATGCTATTTCATCCGACGTGTGTGCTGAAATCAGGGTTCCACCAACCTCCAACCTTCACTCCATCCTGCCGTCCTTCTCGCAGCTCCTCTCCCCGCGCTGCAACTCAGTTGCACTGACCTCACTACACCCCCCTCTCGTGGCGGGGGTGACGGGGCGGCGATATCTGGGACTGGATTGGGGGCCGCCCCGCCGCGGGCTGACCCAGCAAGGGCCAGGTCGGCCGCGGCCGCAAACAGCACCGCTTGTAGCCACACCTTCAGCACTACGCTCTCTCACCTCTTACCTTCAAGTTCCAGGCAGACGCAGCCACCGGCTGCCTGCACAACAAACAAAGGGAGAATGTCAGGAAGTGTATATACGGAAGGTTGGGGGGCTACAAATCTACGGTGTGCCGCCGCCAAGGATGGCATAAACCCTCCCCAAACACGGTGGAAACCCTTAGGCGACCACTACTATTGTGATCTGGGCGGGACACTGCTTCTGCTGGTCAGGGGGGGGACACCAGCCACGGTAATTCTGGACGCTTCGGGAGGCTTCTTATGTGCAGGGGAGGGCCCTTATGCCATACACCTGGGCGAGCCCGCCCTTCTCGGCGAGAGTGGGAGGTCCCGCCACCGCCTGCAAGGCGCAAACCTCCCTCGCGCGCGGTGGAACCCCCCCCAGGCGGCCCCAGGATCCATGTGCTGGGTGGGAACCCTACGCCTGGTCACAGGTGAGGGATCCCGCATTTGACCCGTGGGACGCCTGAGGGGGGGGTCCTATCAGCAGAGTGAAGGGCCCTTGTGCACTCCACGCCGGCGCCGGCGAGCGTGGACAGGCACCTCCACCGTCACACCGCCAGCACGCAGCCAAACCAACAGCCACCTCCCAACCTCCACGTTTTCAACCGCGTTTACCCTTTTTGTTTTTCTTTTCACCAATCATTCCCGCGCCCTGGCCCCGCCGCGCCTTGCCGTCAATCTTTGCTACAGGCACCCGCCAGGGTTGAGCTGGAGGCCCAACAGGCTCTTCCGCAACCTGTGCCAGCAGCACGCCTCCTTAGCTTCAGGCCCTCGCGGTCACAGTTTCTGCTGCAGGCAACCGCCAGAATTGAGCTGGAGGCTCCACAGCCAAACGAGGGCACCTCTGCAGAGGGGGATCTTGGGCGTCCCCCAGGGCGCTGGCTCAGGAGGGCCAGGCGACCCCAACTGGGGAGAACCCCATCGTGGGCCCCCAGGCCACCCACCGTCACCCGCTGCCGCCACCTTTTCCATACTGCTGCCGCCGCATCTTTACTTGCATGTCCTTCTATCTCCTCCTTGAGGTCACGATCCTCCTTACCTCCCCTCCTCTTCTGTTTGTCGACCTTTAACGAACTATCTACTCAAAGCCGGCGGTTACATCCACATGGCTGCCTAGTTTGATCACCCCCCCGGGGCCGACCAGCCCTAGGGGGTGAGGGCTGCGTGAGAACAGTTCTTCAGCCATCCAGCAACAGGCGGAGCACGACGACGAGGACGACGACGAGGACGAGGACGAGGACGAAAAAAAAGGCGGCGGTGGCGGCGGCGACGACGAGGACGAGGACGAAGACAAAGGCGGCGGTGGCGGCAGCGACGGTGGCGGCGACGGCGACGCGCCGCAGGCCGCAACACGGGGATGGTCGGCTGGACCAAGCTGCCGGAGAACAGGCACGCGGGCCGCCTGCGCGTTTCTTCTGGGGGAGGGCACCTCTGGGCGCCGGCGGGGCGGGAGGAGGAGGAGGACCCAGACCGGCCCCCTCGCTCTCCGTCTTCGGTCCCCGTTTCGCCTCCCGCGTTTCGACGGCCCCCGCGGGCGGACCGAGCCATTTTCGGAATGAGCCCTGCCCCCTCCCAGCCGCGAAGGGGTGCGGGGGCCACGGCTTCCCTCCCGAGGAGTCCGACCGCCGCTAGCAGCAGCAGGACCCAGACCCCCCCGACCCATGAAAAAATCACGACGATTGGTCTCTCTTTATTTCTCGCCTCCAGGGGCATTCGCCGGTCCTGGGGACCGTCACAAAACAACTCAGGATGAAGAACCGGTCCCTGGAAAGGGGTCCTGACTTCTGCGGGTCACGGTATAACAAAATACGAAGTCGGGGGTCTGGGGAGGGGGGGGAGCAGGAGGAGCAGGAGAGGGGGGAGAGGTGGAGGAGGGATGAGAAAGAGGCGTCTGGCCCAGGACCAACAGATCTTGAGCGATCTGCGCTATGGGGAAGCCACGATGGTCCAAGGTTGAGCGATCCACCACATGGTGCCGCAAGCCAAAGCCCACGTCCTCGTGACGTGACACAGCCGTGAACAATCCCATAAGCTACTGTCACGTCAAGGATGAGTCGCCAAAATGCGCTGGTCATTCAAATGAAGAGGCGGAACATACTAGCGGTTGCCATGGACGAGGCGCTGCAGATTGCTGACAGCAGAGGGAACAGGAAGAGGGAGGAAAGGACCAAGAAAGAGGCTCACAGCTCGTGCATGCGGGAACGGCCCCAGACGTCGTTTGAGACACCAGCCACACTGACTCACATGAGCGCGAGAAGAGGAGAATCGCGCGCGTGCATACCCTTACCGAGCCATGCTGGCGACACTCGCACGATTCCCCCTCACGGGTAAACTCAGCAAAAACGATGGGAATCTGCGAATATGGGCAGCCAATAGAATTAACACCAGTTCACAGCGCGAGGTCCCACTAGCACGCCAACGTACTATGGACAAGCGAAGGAACAGATAAACGCTGACGAAAACCTTACAAAGCCGAGCGAGCTGTGCCCAAATTCTTGGCCGCTCAAGGATCTTCCACAAACGCCGGGAACGGCGGTAATTCGCCGGACGTGTCTTCGCTGATGCCAACCAGTGTGACCAGAATGACAACGACAGCCGTATTAGCTGCACTGTTATGTGTGTTCCACCGCTCCCAACCGCCCCACTTTTCCACGACGGGCGTCATTCGCCCTGGTGGACTTTGCGGGCTTTCGTGGGGGCGGGGGTCGACGGGTGTTCCGTCGTTGTCCATGGGGCTTGGCCTGGTTCTTTGTCCCAGCTGCAGTCCTTGGTCCATGCGACGGTGACCTCTTCAGGGTCGCTGCGTGGTTGTTCCGACGTTGGGGCCCCCGGTTGTACCTCTTTGCTTCTCCAGTCGCCTTGCGGCGGCCAGGGTTGGGACAGGCATGAGATCCTTGGCCTGACCTCCCTCCTGGAGATTGCGCCAAAGAGGCCGCGCCCGCGGACTCACAATCGTACCCGAGAGGGTCATCCAATCAACTGCGTTGCCTCTCCTCATCATCTCCCGCCGCACTTGGTCGTCGCTGCACTGTCTAGCTTTCGCCATGTTACTCCGCCTGCATCTTCGAGTTTGCACATTGCAGTCAGAAGCTCTTGCGTGGCGTGTGGCGCCTGGCCCACCGCGCTTCGGCGTGAAACGCGAACCACGTCCTGGCCCTGGCGTAAACGTCCCGAGCTTTTGACAGCGTCCCGCCCTGCGAAGCGGAGCGACGCGCTAGCAGCTCGCAGGGCAGAGCGAGTCGCCAGGGCCGCCGCCGTTCTGAGCAAAACGTCCTCGCCGTACCGGCTCGGCTCTTCCCAGATCGCCTCGCCCTTCTCTTGTCCCCCCTTCCATTGCTGGTCAGTGTCCCTCCTCCCCCCTTTCCCCTCGCCCTCCGCTTAGGATGGAGCCCATCATCCGCGCGTTGATGGACTCTGGCCCCCTGACAGTCTCCGTCGCGGCCAGCAGGCGGCCTCGACGACGTTGTAGTCGCTGTCGCCGTCTTCCCGTCGCCGCCGTCGTCGTCGCCGCCATTAACGTCACCGCCGCCGCCGTTGCCGCCGTCGTCATCGCCGCCGTCGTCGCCGCCGCCGCCGCCATTGCCGCCCCGCCGCCGAGGGAGCCCGGCCATTCGACGGCCGCCGCCGCTGCCCGCGCCTGGGGTCGACGGCGCTGGCGCCGCTGGGCGCCGCTGCCGCTGGCCGTCGTTTTGCTGCTGCTGGTCGCCATCGACCTGCTGCTCGCCGTCGGAGCCTCTGTGGGGAAGGAGGTCGAGGTTTTCGCACGTGTTCGACGGCTCTCAACAGCTTTCCAACTCCGGGATGCCTTCCATCGGCTGCGCCTCGCCGAAAGCGCTCTTGGGGTGCCCCGGATCGTCCCGGACGGCCACCGGAGGCCCGAGTCATGGCCCGAAACCGATTTCATCCACCGGCGATAACGGGCGTGACCAGTGGGGCAGGAGGGGAGAGGAGGGGGCTGGTCACGTCACGATTCGCGCCGCCGCCGTCTTGGAATCCTCAGGAATGTCTACGTAGTTAGACGGCGACGGCGCGAACTGTGACGTGAACAGATGGGGGAGGGGTGGGAGGGCGGGGCCAGTCACGGGCGTTATCGCGAAGAACAGAAAAACGGGTTCAGTGGCAACGTCAGGGGGAGATACGGTGAGTGGGGATGCATCGACGATAGGGGCCCGATAGCCTACCAGCCTAGGAACGTGTAGATTCGCGGGGGGCCTATCGCCGATCTATCGGCGACATATCGCCGATTCCAGTTCGACGTTTCCCCCCTGAGCCGGTCCCCCCCTGCCGTTCCCCCTCAAGGAAGGACGGAGGACTCGGACGTCATTGCACCTTCGCCATGCGCTAGGACAAGGCATCCAGCGTAGGATCGCCGAGGCACTGCATTGACCGAGTCCTTCATTCCCCCGTGTGCGCAACAGAACATGTGCTTTCCGCTGTTGTCTCACTTCTGGCCGATGCGCCGTCTAAGCGCGGCATCTTGCGTGCGTGAGGCTCCCTTGTCGCCACCGCTGGGCTCCCCTCGGAATCCTGGCCAGAGCGCACCCCAAGACAGGTCTGGAGGTCGACTTGTTGCCGCTTGGCCCAGTTATTGTCGCTGCGCGTTTCTGATGTTGCTCGTCCTGCTGCTGCTGCTGCGCCTGCCGCGGCTGCCGCACTTGTCGCTGCAGCGACCAGTCTGGTCGCCGTCGTTGCACGCGTCGTCTGCGGCCGCTGCGCCGCCAGGCGTCCTGCTGCTGCCGCTGCTGCGACCCGCTGCCGTTGCTCCGTGGGCACGCGCGGTCCGTCTGGAGCTCTGTGGCCGTGAGTTGGTCGGGAGTTGTCAAAGGGGGAGGGGGGGGGCGAGGAGGAGGAGGAGGAGGAGGAGGAGGAGGAGGAGGAGGAGGAGGAGGAGGAGGAGGAGGAGGGAGCGTAATGTGGGGGGTCGATGAATGGGGGTGTCAGGAAAGGGCACCGTCCGTGCATCTTCGGTGCCCCAGAGGGGCGCCCTGGGGCCCAAGGTGCACGGAGGCTGTTTCTTAGCCCCCTTGTGTACCGCTCTCCATCAAGCAACGCCCAAGCTGGTGCGCATCCCCACCGCTTATCAGCCGGCTACACGCAAGCAGAGTGTCATTTGGTGCGGGGCGTTCGAGGGCGCGGGGGAGGGGCAAACCCAAGCACCCAGGCCGCTGCTGCCGCAGCTCATGCAACGACTGGCAAGCCGCCGCGCACCCAGGGTCACTCTTACCGAAGGCACCCCTGCGTGTAGCCAGATCAGACGGGCAGTTCCTCCTCTACGACGCGCCTCACTGTGGCCGCTCCTCCCTCCTCCTCGCCCTCCTCCTCGCCCTCCTCCTGCTCCTCCTCCTCCTCCTCCTCCTCCTCCTCGCCCTCCTCCTCCTCCTCCACCTCCTCCTCCTCCTCCTCCTCGGGGGCGGGGTCGAGGAGCTAGCTCTGCGAATGCATGTTCTCTGCCCCTCTCGGGCCCCATCGGGGATCTCCAGAGGCCCCCTCGGGACCTCCAGAAGCGTCACGGGACCGCCGGAGACTCGTTAGGGGAACGTCGGGTGTTGCTAGAAGTGCCCCTGGCCCAAGGTACCCCCCAGGATGCCAAGGAGGCCCCCACGCCTCCAGCGCACCCCTCACGAGGCCCAGAGGGCTCCAAAATGGAGCGAAAAGCTGGGGGCACCGTGGGCCAGGGGCACCTTTAGCAACCCCCGAGAACGAAGAATGACCTGAACATAAAGACTCGGAGGTCCGATCCCCGCTGGGCCCCCCTCCCTGGCGCGCGGAGCGCGCCAGGGGCGCTGCTGGAGGCGCCGCCAGGGGGGTCCAGCGCCGATCCGAGAAATTTGCGCGGACCTCCGAGTTTGTTCCCAACCATCCTTGGTTGGGTATTCGTTTTGAATAGAGCACTGCGGTCGCGTCCTCCTCCCGCCTCCTGTCTCCCGCGAGACCTCGCCGTCCCTGGGGGGCTGCGATCTGCGAAACTGTCGCCACTTTTTCGAGGGCTGCTGGTGGGTCCAGCGGAGTGAGGCACCGCGCAGACCTGAGCGAGACCTCGCCGTCCCTGGGGGGCTGCGATCTGCGAAACCGTCGGCATTTTCGAGGGTTGCTGTTGGGTCCAGCGCAGTGAGGCGAGACCTCGCCGTCCCTGGGGGGCTGCGATCTGCGAAACCGTCGCCATTTATTTTCGAGGGCTGCTGTTGGGTCCAGCGGAGTGAGGCACCGTGCTGACCTGAGCGAGACCTCGCCGTCCCTGGGGGGCTGCGATCTGCGAAACCGTCGCCACTTTCGAGGGCTGCTGGTGGGCTCGCCACTTTCGAAGGTTGCTGGTGGGTCCAGCGGAGTGAGGCACTGCGCGGACCTGAGCGGGACCTCGCCGTCCCTGGGGGGCCATGTCATGTTGTTGTTGCCCCGCCGACGTTTCAAGCCCCTTTGCCCAGAGTCTCCTTTTGGACCTTGCGTCTTCCTTAGTGACGAAGGGGCTCACTAATTAACTCATCGTTGGGACCTGCGAACCTTCCGAATGCCGCTCGCAATAGTAGATGCGTCCATGTCACGTCGCCGCCTTCTCGTCAAATCTCCCAAGCTGCTCCTGCCCCGCATTGCGCAGGGGTTGGGTACGTCGCCAGGGTAATTTGTATATGTCATTGCGCGTTTCCCTACTCCTGGAGACCGCAGCCTTCGAAAGAACGGCCCCACGCCATCACACTCGGCCAACCCACTGTGTCCTGCCTGCGCCCTGGTTCCTCCTAGCTCAGCGTACGAGCAGAGCTCCACCGGGCAGAACCTGCTCAGGTCAAGCGGGGCGGTTTGCGCGACCCCTGGGGACCTCGGGAGCTCCCGCCTTCCTTTCGGGAGGGGCCTCCTGAGTTGGGGCTCTGCGGCCGGTGGGGCCAGGGCTCGGCGGGACCCTGAAGTGTGCTCAGGCTTGGCACCGTTTTCGAGGGCGGCGTGGGGCTCTCGGCCGCGTCCGGCCTCGTCCGCCTCCCACACACCTCCAACGATCTGGAACAGAAGTTCCGTGTTTCCGGCTTCTGGCCTCCAGGGGCCGATTCCCGGCCCTGGGGAGCACCAGAAGACGGTTCGCGATGAAAAACATGTTCTTTTGGAAGGCGTCGGCGGTTCTGGGGAACCCGTATCGGAAGAACAGGAATCGGAAGTCTGGGACTTCGTAGGCGATCCCGTGACCGCAGCACGTGCTGGATGTGGGCATCCGCTTAGTGCAGTTGGAGATGAGCTGGGCGCATTATGCACGCTGACATGAGCGCGGGTGCTGGGAGTGTGCTCTGATCTCGATCGTCTGCCATGTGCCGGGCTGGCCGGTGTGCCTGCGTCCGAGCACCTACTGTCGGGCCAGAAGCCCCAAGAGGCCCCAGCAAGCTCTACGTAGCTCGGCGGCGAGCGCGGGGGGGAAGTCAGAAGGGGCAGGCCTTCTCAGAAGGCTCAGAAGTCCAAAGGTATTCTGAGAAGTTGTCTAAGCCTTCCCCGAAGACACAGAAAACCTCTCAGAAGGCCAGAGGCCTTGTGAGAAGTCCCGCCGCCTTCTGAAGAGGCATTCTCCTTCTCGCTTCCCCTCCCTCGCTCGCTCGCCGCCGAGTAGCTCCAGAGGACTACAGAGAAGTTCGATGGAAGCACGGCTGGGCCCCACCTGGCCTGACCCTGGGCTTCCGACGGCCCGATCTTGCTCCGAGTTGCTGGCCCCTGGAGCTCTCTCAACCCTTTGCCGGGGGCCGGCGCCCCATCCCGAGTCGCCTTCTGCCGGCTCTCGGGGGCCCAGGAGCTGCTTCCCGGCGCCGAGGACAAAAATGATCCTGGCGAAGGACCCAACCAGATGCAGCTGTAGGCATCGCAATCATCAGTATCGTCTTCGGTGGAGCTCCCTGTGGGGCCACGAGACGCGTGAGCGGTGTGCCGAAATTTCCCGTGGCCGTCATCCCTGCCACTGGGGGCCTTGTGTGGAGCTCCCTATGAGGTCACGAATCGCGTGAGGGGCGTGCCGAAAAGGCCCGAGGCCACCATGTGGACCCTGCGGCTGGGGGCCTTCGGTTGGAGCTCCCTATGGGGCCACGAAGCGTGTGAGTAGTGTGCAGAAATGGCCCGAGGCCGCCATGCGGACCTTGCCACTCGAGAGCTCCTTACGAAACTTGTGAGGAGTGTGCCGAAATGGCCCGATGCCGCCATGCGAACCCTGCCGCTGGGGGCCTTGGTTGGAGCTCCCTATGGGGCCACGAACCGCGTGAGGGGTGTGCCGAAAAGGCCCGAGGCCACCATGTGGACCCTGCCGCTGGGGGCCTTCGGTGGAGCTCCCTATGGAGCAGCGAAGCGCGTGAGTGGTTTGCAGAAATGGCCCGAGGCCGCCATGCGGACCGTGCCACTCGAGCTTTCCTCTGTGTCCCTCAATAGTTCTGGGGGTACCTGTAATCCGTGGTGGGTACCTGTAGTCTGGGGAAGGGGTATTTGTAGTCCGGGGGGGAGTACCTGTAGTCCGCGGGGAAGGGTACCTGTAGTCCGGGGGGGAGTACCTGTAATCCGGGGGGGGGGTACCTGCAGTCCGGGGGGGGGGCGCGCGGGGGTACTTGTAGTCAGGGGGGGGGGGCACGAATGTTCATGCGTCAAAGCACGCGTGGTTCCACGCGCACGGGTTTCGGCGTGCGGGTGTCTGCGCGCGCGGGATTGCACCACGCGCATCGTTGCACACGACACGCGCACACGCACGCGCGCTGAAACGCACAAACACACTCGCTACTGAGTAACTCGAGGGGGCGCGCACAAGTATGAGGAAGAATGATTATTTGCCAGATCCGGGCGACCAACGGGCGCTTCAGGGGGGCACCTGGAGCGACCAACGGGGGTACCTGTAGTCGGGGGGGTACCTGTAGTCCAGGGGGGGGAGGTACCTGTAATCCAGGGGGGGTACCTGTAGTCCGGGGGGGGATACCTGTGGTCAGGGGGGGGTACTTGTAGACCAGGGAAGGGGTTACCTGTAGTCCGGTGGGGTACCTGTAGTCCGGGGACCCAGAACTATTGAGGGACACAGAGTCGGTGGAGCTCCCTCTGGGGCCGCCACGAAACTTGTGAGGGGTGGGCCCAAATTGCCCGAGGCTGTCATGCCAGCGGCAGGGGCCTTCGGTGGAGCTCCCCATATGGCCACGAACCGCGTGAGAGGTGTGCCGAAAGGGCCCGAGGCCGCCATGTGGACATTGCCACTGAGGTCTTCGGTGAAGCTCCATACGGGGCCGCGAAGCGTGTGGAGGGTGTGCCGAAAAGGCCCGAGGCCGCCGTGCGGACCCTGCGACTGAGGCCTTCGGTGGAGCTCCAATATGGAACCGCGAAGCGTGTGGAGGGTGTGCCGAAATAACCCGAGACCGCCATGCGGACCCTATGGGGCCACGAACCGTCTGATGGGTTGAGCTCGCTATGGGGCCACGAACCGTCTGATGGGTGCTCCGAAATGGGGCGGGGCCGCCATGCCGACGATGATGACACTGACGATGATGTGGATGATGGCGATGGTGATGATGATGATGATGATGATGATGATGATGATGATGATGATGATGATGATGATGATGATGATGATGATGATGATGATGATGATAGGATCAGGATCAGGATGAGGATCAGGATCAGGATCAGGATCAGGATCAGGATCAGGATCAGGATCAGGATCAGGATCAGGATCAGGATCAGGATCAGGATCAGGATCAGGATCAGGATCAGGATCAGGATCAGGATCAGGATCAGGATCAGGATCAGGATCAGGATGACGATGACGATGACGATGACGATGACGATGACGATGATGATAATGATAATGCTGATGATAACCTACGGAGGGATGGGAGGAGGAAAAAGGGGCAGCGGGAGAAGCAGGAGGAGGAGGAGGAGACTGAGGAGGTGGGACGCGGGGCGCTGTCTTTTCAAAACGAGGGCCCAACACCACAGGATGGTTGGGAAAAGCAGTGCGCCCGAGGTCCTGGGTGCCGCTGTCCAGATCGCTCTACGGTGAGGCGCTTGCGCGCGCGGCGCGATGGCATTATGATCGCCAGCCCGCAGACCGAAGCCGGCTGTCCGCTGCAGGTGGTGGCACTACTACGAAGAGGGCATCATGACCGGGGCCGACTGCGACGAGAACAACGTGATCGGCCACGCCGTGGTGCTCTTCGGCATCGGGAAGGACGGCGGTGGAGAGAGTGGAAGGGGAAGGACTCGGATTCCTTTTCCTTGTAGATAACTCCTCCCTGTCGCACCCCGAGGCCGGTTTTTAGAGCCGGGCGTTTCGCTTGAGACTTCTTCACACATTACGATTCAGAAGCGTACAAAGTGACAAGAGTTTCACAGATGGAGGGCGGGTGGTTGCGCCGCGTTCAGTCGCGTTAAGAAATTGCAAGTGCAAGAGCTTCACGGATTGAGAGCGGGTGATTTTTCAAAGTGTGGCGGCTCTCGCTTTCGTGCCGCGCGCATTTTTTTATCATTTGCAAGAGTTTCACGGATTGAGGGCGGGTCGTTTTCAACATGTGGCTCCCGCTTTAGTGCCGCGCACATTCGTTTTAAAAGATTGCACGAGCTTCACGGATTCCCATGATCAACGTACCAGAAATGTTTTTTTGAATGGATTCAGGATTATGCGGGTGCAACAGTTATGTTGATTCGCGGTGTAGAAGTCCCAGAAAACGGCGCTCTGGCACGATTCCGGATCGTCAAGACGCAGCAGTCAGGTTGACACGTGGCGTTGAAATCCCGAGAACAATATGTTGGCATGTTTCAGGATCTTCAAACGGTTGTCTTCCAAGGATGCAGTTCCCTCCATGGAAATGAACCGTTCTCGGAGCCTATGAAGAGGGAGCTCGGAGGGAGGGTGAATTCCAACATCGTTGATGACTCTTGGTTTGACACTGGTCCTCCTCCTCCTGCTCCTTCTCCTCCTTGCGCCACCATCTTGGAGGCGAGGCAGAGCAAGCTCGACACGTCCGCCACAGAGGCTTGGTGGGGCCTCCTGCACTGCTGGAAGGCCTTCGGCCGCTGGGGCCAATCGGCCCCTGGCTCTCGCGCGCGCCGGCCTGCACTGAGGGACCAGCTCGCGCAGCAGGCACTGGCGCTCAGCATCGAGACTGCGGTCACCGACGAGCCCGCCCTGCGCAACGGCTCCGTGCCGCAGTGGATCGGCCTCGCGATCAGGTCGAGCCCGCTCTGTCACTGGCCCGAGTCATTGTTGGAGGCGCAGGTCGAGGCTCGGAGGCGGAGCGACTCCGCGGCTCGGGCCAAGTCATGGCGCGAATGCTGCTCCACGACGCTGGACGGCTCTGGGCGCGTGGCCCATCGCCTCATCAATGAGAAGCGGGGCGAGGCCCCACCAGTGCCGGCTCCTGACGACGAGCGCCAGCTGCCGCAGGTGGGGTCGGCGGCGGCGGAGGCCATACTCGACGAGTGATTGGCCGATTGGGACAAGCCGTCCCGAGCTTGCGAGCAGAAGGGGCCCTCGAATCTTGCCCCGATCACCGTCGCCCTGGTGCGCGATGTAGCTCGGCGCTTCCCGGTGCAGACGGGGCTCGGCTGGGACAATTTCAATCCGCGGGCGCTGTCGTTCTTGCCAGACGCGTTGCTGGAGCGCTTCGTGGCCATCCTGAATGCCTTTGAGGCGTAGCCAACTGTGCCGCAGTTGTGGCTGACTATTTTTGCGTTTTTGCCCAAGCCGCCGCCGCAGCTTGGCCGTCCACCCATAGGGCTCCTCTGCATGTGGGAGCGCGTATGGTCGCGACCGCGGCAGAAAGATGTGCGGTGCTGGGAGGTCAAGGTTGACGCTTCGTTCTTCTGGGGCAAGTCTGGTGACACGGCGACGGATCGTGCCGCCTACGTTCATAATATGTTGCTGGTGCACGCCCCGCGGCATGCCATGGTGATCGGTTCCATGTTTATCGATGTGTATCGGTTCTATGAACAGATCTCACGCATGGCCATGCGTGAAGCGGCGGTGCACTATTCATTTGATATTGGACTGGTTCGCTCCCTGTGTTCCCTGTACCGCGGGCCCCGCCGAGTGAGACGGCTTTCGGCCACCTCGCGGGCCGCGCACCCCAAGGGAACAGTGATGGCGGGGTGCAGGTGCGCAACGGGGGTCGTCTAACTAATGATGCTTTGCGTATTTCGCACGGTTGCGGTTGAAACTCTTGTTTGTCGACCCCTCAATTTGTTTGGTCGGTGGCATTAAGCTGCACGCGGTAGGGGGCATCCTCACAGTGGCGGCCCAGCTAGTGCGGGCCGCCAGCCTTGTCTAGAGTATTCTGCAGCAGCTTGAGCTCCCCCTCAGCCACGGGGAAAACTTGCTTCGTGGTTTCGGAGAACGCCCTCTTGGACGAGCTCCTCGAGGATCTCGAGTGGCCTCTAGATGTTAGCCTGCTTTCGGCTTGCCACCGCGATTCAGGAGGCGACTCCCTGGAGCCGTCATCGATCCTGGCAGTGGGACTCCCATTGTCTTCGTCGCCCGTTTGATCTCTCTCTCTCTCTCTCTGACGTCGGGGCTCGCGCCTTCTCCTTCCTCCCTCCTCCCGCCGCCTCCTCCTCCTCCGTAGCCATTTTGGCTCAAGGCTACGAACCGCCCCGACGACCGCGAGCCTTTCGGGGCGATCTCAGAGCGCGAGGGAGGTTCCGCTTTGAGGCCACTCACCAGTCCAGTCCTCTGGTGCCTAGCATTCCTTGTGGGCCTTCACCGCGGGAGTTGGGCCCCCGCCAAGTCTCTTCCCATTCCACCTGTGCTGTTCGCGATGGCTGACGGCGCCCCCGCGGGGGAGATCTCGGCCTCTCAAGCAGAACTGCTGGAGCTCGCACCGACCTTCCCGTCCCAGGAGGGCAAGGCGGGTAAAGGCAAAGGCTGCGTCCCTGCGCGCGTCGCCAGCTGTGCTGCTCATAAGCGGCGTGCTCTTCCTCCTCATGGCCAGCCTGCAATCGCCGTCGACGACGACGGCCTGCCGCCGCGCCTCGACGATGATGACGATGCCTCGGAGGACTACATCAAGCAATGCTGCGCCGAAATGCCTGGCAAGCTGCGTGAAGAACTGGCCACCGACATCAGCAAGTCTCTCACCGACACCATCAAGCAGAATATTGAAGTCCAGAACAAACCGACCCTCGAGCTGTTGGACCAACTCCGTGCGCAGCTGGCTCAGCCGCCCGCGGACCTCGACCAGAAGATCCGCTCGATCGCCCGCCCCCAGCTCGACGCCACCACTCGCCGCATTCAGTCGCAGCTCGACGCCCAGCAGGTGCAGACCAATGAAACTGACGGGCGTGCTGCCAAAGTTGAAGCCCAGATGCGCGACGTTCTGGCCCAGATGGAGGCACTCAAGAAGGAGCTCCACTTGGCCGAGCAACGCCCTCGTAATCCGCTCACTCAGCCGAAAGGGTTCGACAGGGAGGTGGGCGCCTCGCTGGCGGTGGCCATGGCCCATCGCCCGACCACCGCGGCCTGTGTCGAAGCTGAGCTACGTCCTTGGATTGCCTCCCTCGGCATTGCCGACGGCCTCTACGACGTGGTGCCCGTCGGCGCTGTGCCGACCAAGAAGTTCCACACCCGTTTCAAGGGCCTCATTGCCGTCGCGCCCAGGATGGCGGCTAACGTCATCGGCCCCCTGCGCTCCGAGGGTGTCTGGAATGAGTTCACTGTCGAAGTGCCTGGCAGCCCGCGCTGCCGCATCCACCTGGGCCCTGACAAGTCGCCGCGCCAGATTCGCCGCGAAATCCTTCTACGGAGGGCCCGCGGTCTCATCGCCGAGCGCCACCCGAACCTTCGCTTGTTTACGGACAGAGAACGTGCCACACTCTCCATCGGCTGGGATCGAATCATGCGCGTGGAGGCCCATCCTGGTAGCAAGCCCGCAGAGTTCTACTGGGGCGCTCAGCAGCTCGCCAAGCACGACCTCGTCAAAGCCGAACTCGCGTCGCTGCTGGCCCCCCTCGTCGAACCTGAGGCCGAACCACAGTGGTGTCTTTGACGTATGGAAGCTGTTCAAGTGCACTTCGCCGTCGCCATCTTCCCCCGTGTGTTCCATGAGGGCTGTCACGTGGAATGATCGCGCATTGCTTCAACCCGCTGGCAAAAATGGTGCACGCAAGCTTAACTACTTACTCCGTCTTCAGCCTGCTCGCTCTATCGTGTGCCTGCACCAGGCAGGATGAGCTTCAACTCCGTGAGTTTCTGGGCCCGCTGGGGGAGTCGCTGACGGTGTATTCGTCGTTTTGTGGTGACTCGGGTGCGGACCGCATCCGCGGGGGCGTGGCTATCCTTCTTCCTCGATTTTGTCAGGCAGCTGGAGAACGCGTGCGAAGCCGCGCGGTGGCTATTGTACCTGGTCGTGTTTTGCGTCTCACTATCGAGTGTGGCCCGATATGCATGGACATCTTTAACATTCACAATCATGATCTGAAGCGCGTGCAGGTCAGGGAGATCGTCAAGACTATCCTCGAGGCTCGCGCTGCTGCGCCCAGCGCCCCCACCCAGCGGCTCGCGCTGGTCGCGGGCGACTTCAACTTCGCTGCTTAAGAGGGCGTTGTTCTTCACATGCCTCAGGCCGCGGTTCGGCGCGCTGCTCGTCAACATCACGGGCAGGCCCAGGTCTGGCGGCAAGCCCTCTCGCAGCTTGTCGAAGTGGAGTGCGCTTTGGGGTCGCACTACGAGAAAAAATCCAACTCTGAGGCCGCTATCGATCGTCTCTTCCTCTCTCTTCCTGGGTGGATGGTCTGCCAACATCATCTCCAGGCTGCCACCGTCGATTCTGCGGCATCCGTCTCAGACTCTGTCGTCTCCGATCACGCCGCAGTCGCGGTCACCATTACCCCCCGTGCCGCTCGTCCTCCTGCCGAACGCCCTCTTGCCAAACATCTCTTCCAGGACCCGAGTTACCAGGGGCGTATTCGTGCTATGGTTGATTGTACTGACTGGGATAGTATGTCACCTCCATATCGATTAGAACACTTTAAATATCTCATGAAAGAAGCCGCACGTGAAGCACGTGGTAATGCTTTCCGACGACGCCCCCACCACCCTTTCACTTTGCTTCAGCTCGCTCGCACGATGGCCAGAGTGGTGCGGCGTCAAGACGTGAAGTTGGCATGGGAACTTTTGGAATCCCATCCCGTCTCGTCCGACTTCATTCGTGTCCAGGGGTCCGCGGTCGAACTGTT